CAGACTGAGTACAAGGTGCCAGTGAGGTGATGAAACCACCACTTTACAAGGAGACAACCACAGGAGGGGGAGAGAAAAAAAAAAACGTGGAATGCTGCTTTTAGGGCAGATAAAGGAAAGCCGGTAGAGCTGATGTATGATTGCATTCATACGGCGTGAGCTGGAGTATGCACGCACATTCATAGTTGGCTGTTAAAGTGCGGTCTAGAAATACCTCACTCTGCTCATTAATCTCAACAGCACGCTGTGATGAACCTAAAAGCCAGACTTAACAGAAGTGATCCACATCAGCCTTCAAGTAATTACGACAGTAAGGAAAGTCTTTCAGAAATGTTCCGACAAGGTCATGTGCACTTGCAAGAAATGCCTCTTACCATTCAATATTTGCTGTTCAGCATGTGTGTGAGAGAGGTGGAGTCTGTGTGATAGCTCAGCATTATCAAATCCATATGCTAACAACACCTCCCTCTCTCTGTAGTGCTTGAATAAAGCCGAAGACCTGCCGTGAACTCAGGTTTGTTTAACCCTGGCAGCTGCTTTTTTACACATAAATGTCTACATAAAGTTCAATTTCATTTAAGCACAGACGGCAGTTGTCAACAAGCTTCTCAGAATAGGCATCTGGTTGGCAAATCACACTGATGACAGACAGAACGGATGACGCTGCTTGTTGTTGCTGCTGCTTCAGGCTATTTGAATTTGAGCTTTTGAGCATCAGCTCTAACTTAAGTTATTAAAATAAAAAAAACACCTCTATATTTCACAATTTTACAGGTTTAAGCAAGGTGTGTCTCCCACTTGTAACAGATTATTACATATATACATATATATTACAAAATGAACTGAATCCCTGCTGTTTCAGCACTATGACAAACACCCACATTGTATGTTAACTCTAAATCTTGAACTCTAAGCAGTCCAACACTTTCAGAGATAGCATCAGCGCTAACGCTAAAGGCAGTCAGGAGTGACGTGGAATGAATTCTAATGAGCGGAGCAGAAAATTTTCCACTTTTCTTCCTGGATCACCGTGGGTCTCTAATTACACTGTGTGAAGCAGGTGGGGTTGTTTTTTTTCTTTTTTAAGAAAACAAGGCACTTTACTGAAACCTGTCAAAAGCAGCATTTAGACCACACATTCCCTCAAAAATATGACTTTTTACAGTTAAAATCCACTTGGGTAGATGCAAGGAGCGAAGGCAGGCTTAGTAGAAACGTCACAAGACTGCCTCCCTCCTGAAGCGTGACAAGCCGGTGGACACAGAGCATTCTTTCCACTGTAAGGAGACGGGAGAGAGAAGGCAAACTCATTGCTCGTACTAACTAGCTGGGTCTACACCGACTCAGAGGGAGAGCTACTGAAAGAAAACAACAGACATGCTGGCACACCACAGCAGAGTACAAGGGTCAGAGGAGGGAAGCAGGTTACCTGAGAGGGAAGAGGAGCGGATTACAAGTGCCTTCCTGCTGCTCCTTGGCTACAAACAACTATGTTGAGTTTGGTTTAACTTAAGAGGTGCAAACAGGCGGCTTAACAGAACGCACAGTGCTTCTTCAGGTACACATTGGCTCCAAAGAGACAAGAAACCACGATCTGTCCGCTAATTGTGTAGAAACACCTTGAGAAAAGAAAAAAAAAAGTGTGACTGTAAATGAAATGGTAAGCCTGCAAAAGCGTCCTTGATTCAGATATTACAGCATTGCTGGCACTAACCTCTGAGCTCTTCATGGAGGAAAACTTTCTTTACACAAGCACAAATATTACACAGTGAATGGTTTATACAAACACTGCAAAATCTAACTTTGAAAGATTTTAAATAGTTGAAAGGCTGACCACATGTGCTTAACGCTGAATACTGAAAGGAAACAGAAACGAAAATGCCATTAAAGACACACACAAGAGTTTCTCTGCAACCTCCGAATGAGCTGAAGATACAGACAACCAAAGCTCGAATGATATTAGGCTATTTGGCGATATATCAGTATCAGCATTTGTAACGGCCAATACATGAAAATTTAAAGAGTACAGAAGATATGAGAGAAACACCCTTTAATCAAGTTATGAGTGTTGATGTTACGTAGTTTGTCCACCAGGGACTCACCAACAACAACTAGCTAATCCAATCTGAGTTGGACAGATAGTTAACTGATAATCCATGAGTTGTTTCGACAGTAAAACAAGACAGTTCATAATCAGCACTGTCACATTATCTTAGTAAGGACTCATAAATAAAGACACGCAACAACTGTTAATGAAATCTATTTATGTTCTGTGTGTCTGGCAGAAAATGAAATATCGGCCGATGTATCCGATTTTTAAATCATCAAGTATTGGTATCGGTCTTAAAAATTCTGTATTGATCGGGATCTAGAGACACCTGGTGAAAGAGGCAGAGAAGCAGGGCTGAAAAAGACAGTAGACACAGGTGAGACAGAGTAATCAATGTCTCGGAAAATTTCAGTTCCAGCCAGCCAAACCCCACAAAACAGTACACACCAACGGCAAACAGCGAAAGAAGCTAGATGGTCAGGCTCGCAAGAACAATATTAGCTGAACCGAAGGATGAGCCGGGTCTTTTCTTTCTTGCTTTTTTATTTGCATGGATCATTTCTTCTCACAGACTGCATTTAACAAAACATCGATACAGGACGGTATCGCGATACTTTGCATAGCGATATTGTATCGATACAGGGACACCAAAAATAGGCATTTTATTGATATTTGAAAATAAATATATAAATAATAATTATACGAAAACACTCTACTAAGAAAAGGGTTCATCTCTTGCACCGCCCTACTGACATAACGTTAGCCATGTGTACTTACAATAAGTTGGCTAAACTGAAAACTGGACACTTAACATAGTACATAACTGCCAGCTTGATCCCATTTGACTGCAGGCTGATTATGTCTTATGACAGCATTTATTATAGTAGGTTTTAGTGACAGTGTTGGTGTGCTTGACAATCTCATTTTGCAACAAAAAAGAATGACTGAAGTGAGATAACTTTATCTGCTTAGATAAAACAGATTGGAAAAACAACAACAACAACAACAACAACTTTGAGGACATAACTTACAGTTGAAATAAAAGATGATAAATTATATTACGTGTTTTTAGCTTATCACAAAATGTTAAAAATCAAGCTATCATCAGATCATGAGTGAAATGTTGTGATAATGTATTGTGGGGGTCTGGTGATTCCCACTACTTAACAGGAAATGTTAGTGTATTCTGCCTACTTTTTGTTTTTCATATTTATGTATTGCTATAACAGGAAAACTAAAAAGAAAATGTTAGCTAACTGAGTTTATTTAACAAAAACAAAACAACAACTAGGGTTCTAAGTCGTTAGTCTGTCTTCAGAAAGTGAGCATGCCATGCTGGGTGGTATAATTTGATGGAAGGAGTTAAAGCAAGCAGGGGTGGTTAACACTGTCAAAACAATGTGACTCAAACAAGTTGAACTTTCATTTATAGAACGAATCATTCATTGACATGAAAGTGTCAGTTGATGTTGGGACTCCTGGAAAATTATTAATAATTTTCCAATAAGCTCTTCAAACTGAGAAAACTGACAGTGAAAGTGTGGGTGATAAATCAACCTGAAAGTGTCAACTCAAGTGGAGGCTGAGGGGGGGAAAAAAAAGGTAGCTCCACCTTGCTATTTGCCAGGTGAGGTAGAGTGAACACAACTGTGAATGAAAGAATGAAGCAGATCACACGGGTGCGCTCTAACGTATCTCAACATATCACTCTCCCACTGAATAAATACTGCCTGTTGCTGCTGCTCCTTTGAGCCAATCCACCTCCTTCCCCCCAGTCACCTGACAGAGCCTTTGGAAGGCCACAAAGTGCAAGTTCAATGTACACAAAGCCACCGCGCAGCCATGACCCACTTTATACCTGCAGTATTGTAGAGGTTATAGTGGGAGGAAACGTTTGCTCCACTCCTCTTTCCCAGCGCCTGTCAGGGCAAGCCAAGGTCAAGGAAGAGGGTTTATTTTATTTTATTTTGTTTCCACGTGGCAACGGCTCAGTGGATTCTGCCAGAGCAATTTCCATGTTTTTCACACTCCGCGTGCCTCGATTATCCTGTCATTACACAGCATTCCTGCAGCCAGCTCAGTTGGTAAAACACCTAATTGAAATTATGAATACTTTGAGCACAACAGAAGAGGAAGTGCCAAGCTTAGCTCTGCTGGAACTTGTACCATCGGAGCAGAAATATCACATGCCAGTCATGATTCACCACAGCTGTGATGGGAGCAAGGAGCAGAGGGAGCACTCTGCTAACCTCAGGGGTTAGACTGCTGCTGACTGGCAAGCAGTCAAGTGCTGAGGCATAGATATGTGAGCACCTTGGCGCTGCATAGTGCCACATCATACACGGCTAGGAAAAGGATGAAAAGCAAACTCACAAAGAAGTCAGACCAGTTGATCCTCTACACGAACACGGCGCTGACTGCATGACAAGAAGGTCCTGCTAAAATTGAGCTTTAAACCCCAACACACATTTTGATCCCACGCAGGAAGTTGGGTTTGTTTCTGGGAGCAGACACCTGCAAGGGTAGACAGACTCCAGGAGAGCTGAGTCTGATTATCTGGCGACAGGGAGGGCCCGGGGAGGAGAGGCGAGCAGGAGCAGCAAGAGGAGGCGGCGGAGGAGAGGGGTGTTATGTTCCCAACTGTTGCATCCCAACCTTAAGTAGGTCAACTTTGATGCAGGAAATACACCTCGTCGTGGGTATAACAAAAGAAATTCCCTCCCATGATCACCCCGAGCGCTCATACGTGGCTCTCTCTCTCTCTCTTTCCGTGGTTGGATAACACGCTGAAAGTGCAGCAGCGCAACACCAGGAAAATGCATTTACAGCGGCTGAGCGCACTCACACACAGCGAAAGTTAACCTAATGCACTTCATCCACTCCCTCTCATTTCCACAACATGCCGCGATCCTTAACGGTTATCTCCACGGAACAAAACACGAGTACTTACCAGCTGTTTACACCGCAGTGAGAAACAGAGACAATGTTGACATGTAGGCAACTTGCTTGTTTTCCCTCCTCGAAGTACCCCGCAGACTTATTTGTGCAAAGCAAAAACAAAAAAAATGGTCAAACCAGAACGGCAAGTTAAAAAGAAGGGTGAAAACGCCACTCGGAAATACTCCTTTGTACTTTGCTAGTTACTTCTTCGCCACACTTTCATCTGAAGTTGTCGGCGGAGGCAGGCGCCATGTTTGTGTCTGGGCTGATAGAGTTAGAGCTTTCCTCTGAACCTCTCGCTCTCTCTCGCTCTCTCTCTCTTTCAGACTGGAACCGCCCAGAGAAAAGGAAACGCTGCTAACAAACCACCGCTGCAACTGACAGCGCGAGCAAGCGCGCTCGCGAACAAGGAGCCGCTTCTGGTGAATCCTTTCAAAGTAAAAGACTTTGAAAGGATTTTCAACTTTTTGATGCAATTCACGCTGCATGTGTGTATTTTATATAAGTTAATATTCTGTCAATTGGGGGGGGGGGGGACATAAGGTGGAGGGCAAAGAATCCAACCGGCCCCCTGGAAGACTTTGTAAAATGTGATAGATTTTGAACTGCTAGCTGCATTGTCGTGGGTTTTGCAGCTTTTCTTATCGATAAAGACTCCACCTTATTTGCCACTGATATCGCATTAACGTAGTTATGTAATAGATCAACAATTGAATAACAGAAAAGCTCCAGTTTTTCTACTAGCTACAACAGAAATTTCTGTTTTTTATTATGATAGGTCCACATTACAAACAACCCGTTTGTTAAACCTGTAAATTAACAAAAACATTGTTTTTATAAATACATGACTGTCTGGGCAGTTAAATTTTACTCATTCATCATGTAAAGAAATTGAGATGTACTGTTACTGGACTTCTTTTATAACATTATGACATCTCAGGGATCAAATGTTTAGGTAAATGTCTTTACACTGACTGAAAGGGCAGTTTAAGATCCACTTAAGATCAAAGTAGGCCCACAATATAAAGGGAGTCTGAAATTCCAGCTATGTAGTTCAACCAGCTTCACTTCTATAAAATTCCAGATGCAGCCGAAATATATTGTCATGCAACACTAATATGTAAATCAATATATACAAATGGGAGGATCTAGGTGTTTGTATGGTTTCACTTCACTTGTTCCTTCATTGCAAAATAAGTCTTTGAGTAATGACCCACCTATATCTTTTTAAAGAATTTTTTAAATCCCAGATTATAGTTTGTCTCTAAATTGTTTTCATTTCATTAAATTTAACAAATCCATCTGGGGGAAAAAGAAAAAATTTCATTCCTCTAGTAATTTCGATCCAGTTACCAGTCTTAAGCTTCACACTGCAAACAGCACATCTGGATGGGAGGGGACTAAATGCCCATATTTCTATATAGACTTCCCCACTTTAAAGAAGGGGAGAAAAAAAACTTAGTGGGAAATGAAGGCAAATTCGTTTCATTCAGGATTTCATGTGTTTTACACAGCACCACTCAAGTCAAATGTTTGTGCCCATACGCTGAACTTTTTATTGTGAAGGAGTAACACGCCGACTTCCCTTTTCTCGGTTTTACCAGTGCTTTGCTTCACGTTTAATTTGACGCCCCCTATCTTAAATTGCTGCAAGTCACACCTATTAAAAAAAAGACAAAACAAAAACGAAGAAAAACAAAACACTAGTAGCTTCATATCAATTCATTTTATACCTTCCATGCACCACAATTAACAGGAAAAACTTAAACATCACTAAAACAAGGAACTCTTCGAGTGATTATTGGAGAAGAAACACTTCGAGAGAATTCTTTATTTCCATCATGTTAAAAACTGAGCCAGTGGTGCAGTGTAAATTGTTGGAAGGCATAATACACTCCAGTCAAAAATCTCGATTTACAGACAGACACAACAAACAAACAAAAAAATATATACATGCTCATATTTGTTACTTTAAAAAAAACAAAAAAAAAAACAGGAGGCTGAAGACTGGACACTTGGACTGTAGCTAACACTTCATGTCATCCATTGGGGAGAATGTGATCAGCTCGGGAAGCCTGTACTCCTGCTTCTTTAGAGGTGAAGGGGTCTTCAGCGCCTCTAGATCGAGTGAAAAAATCGTATCTGTGGCTTCCTTTGATGATGCTGGCTCCTCCGACCAGTCTCTGTCCAAACCAGAAAGCGTGTAGTCTGACAGAAGGCACTCAGGCGTCCTCGTGCCCTCCATCAACAAGCCGTCATTTCTTGCGTCATGCTGATGGCAGTTTAACGGTGGCTGCTTCACTTCGAGCTTCAGTAAGGGAATCAGTTGCTCGTCGTCGTCTTCGCTTTTCATCTCTTCGTCATCGAGGCTGAGCAGACTGTCGCACCCTGGAATTTCTGGCAGAGTTTCTTGGTCGAGGCTGAAGTGGACCACACTGCTGCCTGTGCCGCCTGGGCTGTCGTGGGCCTCTGTGATGAAGGTGTCCCATGCAAGAATGGACTTGTGCAAGGCCCCCTGCTGGCAGACTGGAGGCCTGCTGTGGCTCCTGACAGCTGATGGAACAGTCTGGGTGGTCGTGTCGGAACCTGGGGACTCTGAGCTTGGCGACCCATCGTGGTGCTCACTGACCGGGGTGAGTTGCTCTATTATGCTGTCATTAAACTCAGCAGGAGGCTGATTTTTCTTCACTTTGTCTTCCTCGACTGCCTTACGCCAGGAGCTTTTGACATCCATAACTTTGGGAAGAAATAGCCAGGAGAAAAGCCATTTTATTAGGTAAAGGAACACATTAAGGGAAGCTTTTGAATGTCAGGTCCTATATTTTATCACTTACTCAAGCTTTCAGGGGTACGTGGCAGCTGCTTACGAGCAGAGAAGGGATCTCTTTGAAGACTGCTGAGAAGAGCCTCCAGCTCCAAACCTTTAACCCTGCCCTCTGAAGGAGCGGCTGTAGTTACAGCATCTGCAAACTAACACCACATGCACACAAATGTCAACAATCGCTATGCCCCTTTTTAGACGTATGAACCCTCATGAAATTCTCAGTTATACAGCATTTACTACAGATTTCAGTAGTTTAGTTGAGAATCTTTAAAATACCTGATCAGCAAGGTTGTCATATTCCATGTTTAATATCTGAGTCTTTGTCCTCAAGGGAGTCACCTTCCAATCAGTATGGGTCATCTTCCTCACACTCACCTGATGCACAAACATTGATTTTATTTATTCATTTATTTAAACATTAGTGGAACAAGTGTACCATTGTTTCAAGAACAGAATTCAGTAAATATGAAACTAACTTTGAAAACAGAAAATGTGAAATATGACACTTGCCTGAGGCGATGATCGTGGTGCAGCTCTTTGAGGAGGAGGAGGAGGAAATGGGGGCGTGTCAAAAAGCCAGTCCAGAGAGGTATTCGCTCGTATCATTTCAGTCTTGACAACAGGACTTTCGGGCCTCTCGACTGTCACCGGGAAAGTGCTGTTTAGATAAGAAAGTGCTTAATTATTCCAAACACATTTGTGCATCACATCTTTTGATATAAAAGTAATCAATCTGTGGTATAGGTAGGTACTTCACTACATGCTCCAGGTTAACAAGGTTAAGCTCATTCACGTCATGCTGTTCTATCATCATATTTATACAGAAATAAAGTGTCTGCTCCGTATCTGTCCGTGGCGATTTCTCTCAATTCGCCGCGGTCATCAGAGAGCAGGGATGTTCTAGGGAGGACTAGTGACAGGCAGAGCACTGCTCAGGACTGCCCAGGTATCTGCCTCCCAGCAGAAAGCAAAAGGAATAATGCTGTCATGAAGTTCAAATATCCCTGATAATATTACCTTTTAAGGTTGGAAAAATTTATCTTGACGTCATCCTGTGATCCTCTCTCCAAGTGCTTCTCCTCTGAGGGGGGAAAACAAATAAATGCTAATTAAAAACAAAATTTAAACGTTACACCTTCATAAAAACTTTATTATAATCCGATTCCGCTCACCAAGAAGTTTAGCAGGGTACTGGGAGAACACACTGCTTTTATAACTCGCTTCAGCCGCCGGCTCAAAAGACAGTGGAGCCATTGGTGAGAGGAAGCCAAGAGCCTGAGGAGGAAGTGGGCGGGCACATAAGCTCCAAGCAACATTAACAATAGAATGTCTTCGTGTCATTTTTCACAGTACAATAACTTAATTTAAAAGAAGTGCCTGTGTGGTGTGATGCATGTATATATAAAAATAAAAAAAAAACAAAAAAATCAACAACCACTCACAGGATCTTCATTCAGAAAAGAGACTAGGGGTGTTTCTTTCAGAGTGTCCATCCACTTCTTGTCCCACTCTGCCTCCAAATCCTGAATGGCACTCCTGACTTCAGGGATTTTTTCCTTAGAAATCTTCTGCCTGGGAGTTGAGATTAAAGGACACATTTGTAGTTATTAAAAGAAGAAATGTTAACAGTTATTACCACAAATCTATTAACGCAGCATTTTCCAAACGACAAGCATCCAGAAACTTGGATTTACAGATAATGCGGGTGCAACAGGAGGAATAGTGGAAATATCAGGTTGAATATGGAGCTGCCAGGAAGGAGAAAAATGGGAAGATTGGTGTCGTGAAGGAGGACATGCAGAGTGTTGATGTGACAGAAGAAGATGCTAGGGATAGGGTGACATTGAGGTAGATGACCCCCCTATGACGACCCCTAAAGGGAACAGCAGGAGGAAGAAGAACAAAGGGTAAATCAGCTCATGTAGAAGTGTGCACTATCAAGCAAGTACAGCTTAATGGGTACCTGATGAGGTGGAGGTCCTGCAGCGTACGGGCCATCTGGCGAGACATCTCCTGCAGGTGCTGAGGGTTGAGCTGGGGCACAGGGGCGTGAGAGACCCGACAACGTTCCTCCTTTAAGAGCTGCGCCGCGTGGGTCATCAGCTCCATCACACAGAGGAGGTTCAGCTGGTTGGCTTCATACACATTCCCAGAACTTAACTGGATTTAAAATAAAAAATAAATGTAAAAAAATTATATAAATAAAAGTATACATGAAACACAAATCTACCAATATTAGCTCTGAAAGATGTTCCACATCTTCTGTAGCTGCTGTCTCGAGTGTTTCAAGACAGTAGCTTTGTGTGCGCTCATGAAATGCCTAATCATGCTGACCTTTCATGAGAAAGTTCAAAACGCAGTCATAAAGGACAAATACAGTGTATAGTTTTAGTTAAGGGAAAAAGAAAAAGCACAAACAAGATTTCAAAGAAGTTTCCCTGTTGTATTTAAGCGATAACCAGAGTCCATCCATCTCTTCTCACTCACCTGATGTGGGAGCTGTTCAATTCTCTCCAGCAGACAGCGGGGAATTTTAAGAACTTGATCCGTCCCATCAAGGGTGTATTGATCTACGTCTCCTTTCAGGACACTCTCCACAGCACTTTGCTCCTCTTTGATGGCCGACAACATTCCATCAATGGCCGACCACAGGGAGCGCACCTTAGGATAACAGAGAACATCTGTGAGCACTTAGAAAAACAGACACCTCGGCACACGAGTCTCTACTCATCTGAAAATAACATGAATGCATTTAGAAAACAGACTGTCACATCACAGTTGCTCCTTAAATAAATAGTACAAAGACTCTCCAGCGTTTTGAAAAGTTAACATTACGTACTTTTTTGAGCTTCTCAGCTGTAGAAGTTCCTTCCTCCTGAGTGCAATCATTGCTGTAGCGCCTGAAAGGACACAGCTCCATTACTTCAATGGGTCTTAAATTAAATCTGGCATATTGAGAGAGAAATTATACATACTTAAGCAGCTCATCATACTTGACACCTTCTGCTTTGATGTCCCTCATAGACTTCACCAAAAGTCTTCACAAGAGAGAAACAAAAAGAGACTTAAAACAAGTTTAAAGTAGCAGAAGCTAACTTCCATTTCTGCATTCAAACCTTCAGCATAACAAAGCTGTAGTCACAGCGGATACATTGCTATATCAGAGCTCAGGAAGCAGAGTTGAAACACATCATTTGAAGTGATGTACTGTGCCTCCATTCACAGGTTACTGAGACACTCGGCGGAAGTGAGCCTGTCGTTTACAAAATATCTTTCACACAGAAGGGAAGTGAAGCACAAACAAATACATAGCATCAGCCATAAATTTATACCCACATAAGAATAGAGGAAGCAAGTAAAATAATAGAAATAACACAATGAACAAAGACTGAAAGTAAAATGCCGTGTCTTACAGGTTTGTCTGTGAAGGTTCTCAGTCTTACAGGTTATGGTAATCTAAGGAGCTTGGAAAGAAAAGCGTCTGGACTTCTTTAAGGTTCTTGACGACTTCTCATCCCAGAAGCTTCTTCTGTTCTAAGAGCAACTGGTAGAGAGTCACAGTGTCCCTAAGAGGGTTGTTGATGCCAGTATTGATCATCTGCCTAATCATATGAGCAAAGGTGTGAAAACGGGTGTAGGTCACAATCAGCCAAAGTTTCGGGTTTCCCATTGTGAGACCTTGCCCCACCCTATCATGTGATTTACTGAGATCAAATTACCCAGGATGTGAGTGGGCGTTAAGGCATCCGAGAAGAGATCCCAAAACTGGATTATAGATGGCAGACAATTGGTGTCGTAAGCCACCACCTCTGTTCAAAGATGGTCGTTTACAATGGGGATAGATCGCTTCTTTCACTCCTCTTTCAATCCACTCACTGTGTTTATTTTTTGCTTTGTTACTCTCCAACATTTGTTCTTAGAGCTGAAGAAGCTTCTTGGGTGAAAGGTGCAACGTCTTCAAGAAACTTTAAGAAATCCAGTTGCTTTTCTTTCCAAGCTCGTTAGGTTTGGAAATTAGTGTGGGAAAAATGTCGGCTGTATTTTAGTACTGCAGTGAATAGAATAAGGAAATGACAAAACATCCTTGGATAGAGCAGTGAAACGGAGTACTAAGATTTATTTGACTTTACTAGTTTAGTACAATTTGCAATTTAATACTAATTTAAATAATTTAAAGTGATAGGAAGTGTATTTTCTGTACATTTATATCATTATACTAAGTAAACATTTATTACATTTTTCTTAATACCTTGTACTTCTCTAACATCTTCTGTTCTGCTTCGACGAAGCCTGATACAGGAATCCTCACACCACAATACCTGAATTTATTTGTTAGGCATTTACTTAGTAAGCACTTTATTGTATTTCACAGCAAGTTTTAGTAATTGAACTCTTTAACTTGTTACTATTTTAACTGTACTCCGTTCTGAGTAATTATTCCCTGATGTAGTCATTTTGTTCTGTCATATTGTGTTTATTTTACTGCTCTACCATTATGTTAAAGGTTATATTTTAGGTCTTCCACGACCCCTTTCACTTCAATACCCACCGGGGCATAAAAATGGCAGCATGTATATTTTTTGGCATTTGAAAAACAAACCCATAGACTTGAGTAAATTAAGTCACACATTATTTTTTTCCTTTCTTAATTATATACAAGTCCTGATTATTTTATTTTGGTAAAAAGCTAAAACTTCTTAGTTTGGTGACAAAAAAAAACAAAACTTTACAACTCTGTAAAGCTGCTTAAACCAAAAGTGCACTTACTGGGCCCGTCTCTGGTATTCATGGAGAAAACGATCCTGTTCCACTGCAGTTTTCAAAAATCTGGCACGGACCAGATTGAACCTCTTAATTGCCAAGTTCGACGTCGAAGCCGGCATTGCCGCCGCCTCAGGTACCCAGCTGCCATCTGACAACAATAATGTTCAAGATCACGTCATCATTTGGTTGGCATCTTTGCAAGCCAGGTCCATGGCAGATGAGATTAATAGGAGAACAGAAGTCATGTTTAATTCTGTCACTTTAAACTTTAGGAATTGTAGATTCGAGAGGCTACACAAGACCTACCTGTAGCAAAGGTCTTCATTTCCTGCAGCATGACATGCTTGGCCAAATGAAGCATCAAGCTGACAAACTTGGGGCCTCCAGGCGAGAGAAACAATGATGCCACCACTCTGGATCCAGTATTTGCAGTTTCTTCCTGCACATCGTCAAAAAAAAAACAACAGATGGCTGTCAGCGACCTAAATACAAACTGTTTTTGCTAATAAAAAGGTTTCATTATAGATTACTATACGACCCACAAAATTAATCAAATTGTAATCTTGAACAAAACTTTGGCTTTTCAAGAAATTCCCCATTAGAAATTTTCAAAATGCATGTTCTGTCAATAGAACGCAAAGCAAATCAAGCGCTCCCAGAATTAGCATCTAATGATGTGTCTGCAAGTGCCAATTGCAACTGTTCTCTCACAGCACAGTGTGAAGTTTGTGGACTTCACAATGCTAATGTGAATCTTCAACATCAATAAAAGCGAACCTATCCCGCACATCTGCGTATCCATACAGCACACACAGAGTCTGTAAACACCAAGGCAACTCCATTTGGCCAAAAATAGGTGTCTAGCAAACATAGTGAGTAATGAAAGCTTCAAGAAAATGGGTCAACATACTAATCAAATGATATATTATTCACACACACACACACACACACACACACAGTCATTTTTCTCAAGTGAAAATACCTGTGCTTACACTCTAAAATCAGGGGGGAATAAGAGAGGGATCTCATAGCTCTTTACTTTGAGTTTTATTCCCATCCATCATGCAGGAACAATGAATGAAATAAAACACTGTACTTTGCTTCAAGGAGATGCACTTGAATAAACGCCTTATTCGTCTGCAACGATTAACATAAATGTAGCACAATGCAAATCTTAAAGAAGTGCCCTGTCTGTTTAATTCAGTCTTAAACTTTCGTACAATTTCTTTTATTCTTTTGATTCTCACCATGATTTCTCGCAGCCAAGCGCAGGTAACTTTGCGGAACTCGGCGTCTGCTTTTGGGTTTAAAACAGGCCAGCAGTGCCTGAAAACCCAAGGATAAATGAGAAGAGATTAAAAACAAATACTGGCGAAGACAATGAATCATCTATCTGAGCATACAAGACTGGTTATAATTGTCTTTACCTATATGCCTCATGAAACCGTGTCCGGTTGAGTTTCTCCAGCAGGAAATGGGTCACTATGTAAAAAGCATCTTTGTTGGGTTTGTCAAACATGTTCCTGTGGGACATAAAGCTAAACTTAGCAGGAAACGCTTACGCTCCAGGGAGAGTGAATGGCAACGTACATTCAAGGCAAAGTTAAAGTAGCGACATTTCGCACAGTAAGAAATAGCTCGTATTATTCATAAAGACATGAAAAGCAAACTCACGGCCCCATGATGATGTGTTTAGCATTAATATTGGTTTTGCCAGCGATTGACGACACTGCAACGTCCGGTTGAAATCCCAGCCCAAGAAGAGAGAACCACAAATACTGTCCATTCTTCTTCTGCAATAGTGCCGGATTGGCCATTATTCAGAGGAGTAAGAAGCACCGTGATTGTGTCCGGAGGCGAATTCAAAGCTCCAGACTGGCAAACAGAAAACCGCTAGTCCGCTAGCCTCCCTGCTAGCAACGACGTTTACTCTTCGCTAACTTACGCCAACAAGGCCCATTCACAATAACAAACACTGCCAGGAAACGGTTACATTATAAGAGAGGCTGCCGCTGACGTTAAATCCACGTTGACGTTTGTTAATATACATTTCACACATTTCATAGTCCACTGGGAACTGGAAAACAAAAAAAGGTAACGCAAGGACACAAACCGCCAATTTTTCTAAAGATTACCCGGATGTTTTAAATTACTTCCGGTTAGCGAAGGTAGCGACGCACGGGATTCCCATTGGAAATTTAAAAAACAAAAAAAACCTCACTATTTTAACGTGCTTCTTCTTATTGTATTTTTCACTATAAGTAACTATATTTTTTGCAGTTTTTGTCGAAGGTAAATTTGACATATAAAGGCGTAGCCCTGACAGATACAAAGTTTTATTGGACTTTGGCCAGAGCGGCTGTACTATGCTCGAAAAATTTCCTAAGCTATTACTGGTTTAGATTTCACTGGGAAGACAGTGTTTCTAGAAAACCACGTGTGATATTACCAGCTAAGTCTTCCACCTAAAAAGCAGCTTATAGCTTAAGTATACTAGAAATCCCGTATTTTACCCATAGTTGCTTGGGTTATTAGGATTGTACACAGGTCAAAGTCCAGCAATCATAACATCCACAAGTGCTTCACCTAACTCTGCCCTTAGTTCTGTTTGTCTTGTTCAAACAGGATGAGGTCTTGCAGCAAACCCAGCATATTTCTCCAGCTTGATGTTATCCTGGAAAAAGCTGAAGTATTTGGTTGCAGGGCTGGCAGGTCTTTTGTGTGTGTTGCAAGGCACCCACTGGATGTGGTTGGGTCATCAGTGTTTCCTGATATAAAAAACTTTTGTTGTTGTTTTTTTAAATAAGATATTTAAGTGCTCCTGAGTGCAAACGTGACAACACTACTGACATTTCATGGCTTTTTGTTGCGTAACTTTATTCAGTCCTGTTAGCTTCAAATAATGCTTTTGCTCTTTTATTGGACACAATGACGTCACGTCACATTATCTGTCACAGCTTTTGAGTCAGTTGAGACACCGCGGACAGGGAGGCCTGGATATGTCTGCTTAGACTCAGATAAGAAGCAGAAAATGGATCAATCGAGATGTAACTTTACACAGCAAACTGTTTTCTACAGTGTAAATCAGTCATACGCTGTTAACCACATACTTTAAAAAATAAATCAGTCAAAATGCTTTGGAGAGGTGTTGCAGTAATAAAAACAGAGTCAGCGTATGGCAAATTTTCACTTGTCCTTCTTTTATTGTGGAACATACAATTATTTAGATCTCCACCACAACTGGTTAAGTAGAACAGAGTAATAGAAACAAGTGCTCTTTTTTTGTCTAAATCATTCATATCATTGTAGTTCTTTTAAAAGCAGCTGGCAACACTCTCCCACCTTCGATGGATCAGACACTGATGAGTACTTGGAAATCTGAGAGCTGACTCCCAACGAGCGAGCCAGATCCTGGGCTGTTTGATCTGAGGCCACTGTGGTTCCCAAGGCTACCAGCAGCCTAAATACAGCCTCCTTGTCTTGTACTGTCTCCAGGGCTCTACTGGCCACAGATAGGCACTGGGCCTTGGCCTCAAGGTCAGGCTGGAGATGGAGACAGCCAGCGTAGTTAAGCACCAGAGTGGCCAGGGCAATATGGATGTTCTTATTGCAGACGGTGGCCAGGTCAGCAGCACGTGATAGCACCGTTTCGCGCTGGGCCATGAGGAGGGCTCGGCCATGCCTGCCACTGAAGCAATTACACAGAGTCCGCAGTGCCAGCATCTGGTTGGCAGGACGCCCCTCGGGCCTCATTAGGTTCAGGAGGTGGTTGCACAGTTGTACACCCTCTGCCTCTCCACAAAGGCTCTCATTAACCTGCGGGTGGCGCACTGCCAGCCTCATAATGTCCAGGACAGGAAACACAATATCTACAAAACATGAAGAAAGATTGGGGAGGGTCTTGTTAGTGAAGAGAAATTAGCTAAAAAGCATTAAAACACACATGAATTGGGATGGGATACTTTTTTATTACCTTCAGGCCAGTGAGAAGCCTTCCAAAGCAGGTTGATCTGTTGGATGGTCGGAGCAGGCTCAGAGGAGTTGAGTCCACACACAGACAACAAAAGCCTCTCAAGGCTTTCCAGAACTTCTTCAGAGAGCTTGTGCTCCTGAGGGGCACCTCCATTTAGCTCCTTCAACTTAGCTGTTAAGGACAGGTGGAAAACACATTTTCTTACACTACGTTATGGACAAGAATAAAATAAACATTCTTAAAATATATGAAGGTTCCAAATATCACCCACTTTAAAGCACAAGTTATTCAGCGAGAGTTAACAAATCACACTGAAATGCTTACCAATGATCTGAGAGCTGTTGGCTTGCTCAAAGGTCACACCATCAGTCTTAGGAAAGTAGATGTTGGTTGTTTGTCTCAAGGCTGCTGAGGAGTATGCACCACCTCCTGCAAAGCAGGGAGACAGAAAGGAAAAATAATATTAAATGCAAAAAAAAAAAAACTAAAACAATGACAAGTATACTATTAATAAGTTATACATGCAACCTAAACTCAGGCAAAAAGAGAGAGAGCATTAACTTCTTAGAAGACTTTCTAACATCAGCAGGAGGCAAACAAAAAAAGTTTGACACTATTGCCTCATCTCGTGGATGAGGCAAGCATGCTGTGTGTTCCCGTGTATGTGTTTAAATTGCTTGTGAATGAATGAGTGTGTGTGAGTCTTTAAAGAAGAATGTGCCAGCTGCAAAGAAGAAAAGCGAGCATGTCAGCATTCTCAGAGGTCTGCTCTGTGCTTTGATGCAACGTTTCCTACTGCAGAAAATAAATGCTATGATGGTGTAAATCTTAATAATTAATGCCAATATTCATTCAATGGCCAACCTTTTTATCTAATCTAAATGTACAAAATAATGTTTCTAAAGCCTTGAAATAATGGTACACTTTAGATTCGCCCCTGCTAGCTGCTGAGACAGAAAGCAGGACGGCTGATGACAGCCTTCAGTAAGCTGCTTGATTTAAACATCACATCAGATTAAGTTAACAGCTAATCTGCTTAAACACACTTTTATTTTAACTTCTGTAGGTTTTCACTGTGTAAGATAAACAGTGGTGGATGGGAGCAGCTGCAAAGTTCCCTTTTCTTTACGCTAGAGCTTGTTGAAAAGCTGGTTTCATTCAGGACTTCCACCATCTTTTTCCCAGTAAAGATTTTTACTGTGACTATAACAACAAACACTGCTGTTTTGGACACTTAAAAAACGATAATTTAGTGCAGTCCTGGAGCCATTTGGTTAAAGGCAAAAAAAAAAAAAAAAAGAGAGAGAGAGAGAGAAAGGCCTCATAACTCCATCGAAAGGTACCACTGGGATTTGTATCTCACAAGTCCCAATTGCTCCTTTCGATACCAAGTTACCTGTGAAGGGATCCGCTACACCAACAGGAGCACCTGGGTTTGGGCCTGATCCTGGGATGTAGCGACCAGTGCCTGTGAAGAAAAAACACAGCTGTGAAACTGCACTTACAGGTCAAGTTCAGACTATGAACACCTCTGAGTAAACAAACTATACCTGTAAAAGGATCAGCTCCAAATCCTGCAGTATCACTGGAAGAACCAGGGATATAGCGAGCTCCTCCTGTCAAATAAAGAGGCGAAACACATTATACATTCAATCTAAGATCCCTTAATCGTTCCAGTGAAATTAATCTAAATGTACAGCAAAGAAAGCAAAGAAGCCAGCAGCAGTATCCATCTTTTGGACCTCACCAGTGAAGGGGTCACCACCAGCGGGCTGGGCTGGTCCCACCACGTGCCCTTTGGTGTTCTCAATGATAAAATTGGCAACCTGGTCGAGGAACATGGGGCTGAGGTCATTCTTCTGCAGAAAGTTGTGCGCTGTCAGCCAGGGGTCGTCTGTCACATTGTAAGGCAGCTTCATGGATGGCCCTCCCTCATTCACATCAATGCTGAACACGTAGTCATACTCCTGCACGCAGATGGGGGGAGGGGGGGGGCCATTAATGACAGCTCATATGCGACGTCCCGCTTACTAACTCTGAGCTTGTAGCCTCACCTTTCCTTCATACATGACACTCTTGGAGGTCTGTTGGTTTGAGCCTCCGACCACGTCTCCGATTTTCATCCAGCGGCCATCACTGACGCTCCACTGATATGCCTCCACCTTCTGTCCATCTTTGATCAACCGTGTCTGTCCATCGCGATTCCCTGTTGTAAACAAAACCACCCTGATGCACAGAGAACAGCTTCACCGTTTTATATGACAAAATAAATAGCAGACTGCTGCATTACCAGGCTCGTTCAGGTGTTCTTTTCCAGGAAGATCCTCCAGTTTGATGTCACCAAGATCCCCGGTCTTGGGGTCAATGGTGGCTTTGGAAAGTTCATCCTCAAAGGCCTGCAGGTCTTCTGCACTAGCCGTGCGGTCCTCAGCTTCCGTAAACACGCGGATAATGCCATCGCTGTGGGCAGAGGAGAAGCTTCTGGTTTAGCCACAGAACTACTTACTGCTTCATTCAACATTTGTTTGAATGCAGGAGAGATGCGACGAATGAGGACAGCGAACACTGTCTTTAATGGGCTTTTAAATATTTATGGTGTAACATGATCAAGGAAATCACTATGACCTGACTGCATATTAACATGCCAAAAGCAGCTCTATTACCTGGCTCCGACTACTATGTCACCATTAGGTAAAATACAGCAGCACCACACAGACTGAGCAGGCAGGCGGATGGTCTGAGAGCACTCTCCTTGCCTCCATATCCTCAGACTCCGGTCCTCCCCTGTGCTTATAAAATCTAAGAGAAAAAAAAAAAAGGGTGAGGGCAGGGTGTAGGAAGTAGCTACCATCTCAGAGTATGAAAATGGAAGCCGGCTGAATAAACCACAGAGCATCACTGACTGCTGGTTTCAAGTCTCTCAGTTCTATCCCTTGTTTTTAAATATTGATACAATCAACAAACCTTGGCTATTGGGGAAGACGGCTAAGCTGTAGATGAAGTTGGTGTGGCTGTAGTAGACCTGTACGCATTCGCCTGTCACCAGCCACCTTCTGATACTTGTGTCATTGCTACACGAGAAGAACTCAGTGTTGCTGATCACCGCCAGGTCTCTCACACAGTCCTCATGACCTATAATGGAAGGGAATATTTTTTTAACCATAACTTAACCCTAAAAAATATGCAGCTACCAATTTAAATTTTTACTTTGACAAAGTTATGGCTTTGTCCCATATCCTACAATACTGTTGGTTTATATTATTAACCACGTAATCAAAGACAGACAACCAATCATGCTACTCATCAGCCAGTCTACTTTTTGTATACACACGCACCACCCCCCTCCCCCCAAAAAAGATAAAAAAACAAAACAAAACAAAAAAAAAACATGTCCAATATACACCTGCATATCCTCACCTGTAAACGTCTTCTCACATCGTCCTGCTTTCCAAAGCTTTATGGTCTTATCTGCTGATCCCGACAGCATAAGGCCTTGTTCAGGTAAAATAGCCACTGCCCACACCGCTGCAGTGTGGCCCTGAAACAAAATTAACAAGCACAAAACATGTTCTGTCAATTTTTTCAAAACAATGGAGACACTAATCACCATCCAAGCAAGCTGAAAAGTGTAGAGGACCACATACCTGCAAGGTCATCATGCACTTCTCATTGAGCCAGACTTTGGCTGTAGTGTCCCAGGAACCACTCAAAAGTGTCCCAAACTTCCCAGACGACAGAGTGCAAACTGTGGAGGTTTAAAGTTAGAAAGCCAGGAACCAGAAACACTGTGACGAGTAACACAGCAACCAGTTAATCCTCACTACTACAAAAATCCAAACAGCGAGGACAGCACAACTCACCTGTATTTTTGTGACCCTTGAGAGTGAAGAGGGGCTGCGGTCGATCCAGTGAGAAAACACAAATATTATTATCGTTCCCGCCTGTAGCAACAAGTCCCCGAGGGTATGTTTCACTGGGTGCGATGATGCATACACAGGATACAAAATTTGAGTGTCCAGACATAGAGTGCATCTCTGTGAAGCCTTTGTCTGAGCTGTCAGAGGGAGAACAGGACGAAAGTTAACAATGATTACTGAGGGAAGAAGTTAGGTCCCTTTGGCTCTAATCTGTAAGAAGGATAGGCAAATTAACAAAAATAAACACTCCGAATCTGTTTCACTTTCGTGTTTCGTAAAAGAACAGTTGCAGCTGAATGAATGACAAAGCTAATTTGAGCAAACGTTAGCACTGTGCTTTTTGGCTAACTTAGCTACTAACCATTTTTATACATATGAAATCAGAAATAGTAAAATATTCAGTAAGGCGTGATTTGGCTTGACACTTTTCTTGTCCGGACAAGTCAATCTCTTTGCGCAGAGTGACTTGTACCCTGAAATTAATCGTAGCCAGGCAGCAGTTTCTGAGCAGCAAGCTAGCGCTAGCTACCTTGAGTTTGGTACCCAGACTCTTCCGGTCCGGTCTCTGGACACAGACACGAACGCTCCCTCTGGAAAAACAGTAGCGGCGAGTCCCCTGACGTCCATCTCGTGGCCCGGGATTGAACACCTGAGTTTGTACGAATTGAATGATGCCATTTTTGCTCCAACAGCACAATGAAACTACTGTGGCACTGTTAAGCTATGCGGCGTCGCTGTCAACAAACACCAGCCGCTATTGCTAGCGGAAGTTGAATTACGTCATTATTAGGAGTGGCGCACCTTTCAAACTAATGTTTAATTATTTGTGTTGAATATAAATTGTCTTACGTTTATAACATTAACATTAGAGTAGTGTTTTTCCAACTGTATTTTAGGTTTGTATTTTCGAATATATTTTATCAAAATGTATTGACCACAGTTGACCAGAGGGCGGCAGCAGAGCGAGGCCGCCACCATCCTGCTACATCAGCAATATCAAGCTGCCGACTACGCGGACCGAGCAGGAAACTAGGAATGTTGACGTAAAAATAACAGCTCAAACGTAAAAAGTGCCGCTGTTTAAAAAAAATCATATTCGCTTTATCTATCGCGTCAGACGAGAGTTTAATGCTAATACCAAGCTTTTATGTAGACTTAGAACAGCTTAATAAACACGTAAGTCTCGCTAGCAAATGACTTGTGATTTTCTTTAATCAAATCATTGCCTTAATGAGTAATTTAACATTTTCGGTATCTTGGTTTGTTTTTAGTTTTCCATTATTTCGTTTTATGTAATATGAAATAGAATAACTTTATTAACAATTTCGATGCCTCCCAGGACAAAAATGCAAATAATGCTTGTTCCGGTTTTATTTTTTTAGATTGGAAATGTGACCGGAAATGTGATTTTTTTTTTCATTGCAGGTAGCAAAACAGGTCCCACAGAGGCGATGAGGAAGTAGTCTCACTGATTCGTTCGCTGACAAAAAAGTAAGTGTCTTTTCATTTTAGCTCACGAGATGTATATTTGACAATAAACGCGTTGGTTCATTTTTACGCGACTGAAGTAAAGAGCAGCGTTGGCCCGCAGATGTTAGCTAACACAGTCAGGGTTTTAGAGCCCAGCCCATCACGATTGTGAATGTTGTCAGCAGTATGAATGATGGAGCAGGCGAGGCTTTACAAATAACGAGGCTCTGGTAGTGGTTACGTGGTTACGAGGGCTGTTCGTACTGTGTTCTAGCAGTGTTACTGTACTAGATAATGCTGATAATAAGATTCAGTGTAAGGTTTTGGGGGTAGATTGCTCAGGGTATCAAGTGCCTGGTTGATAAGCATCTGCTTTGTATTACACAGAGGTTAGGCCTTTGTTTAAGACACATTCCACGACCATTTCCACACAGTATCTGATATGTCCTTGTACGTACAAATCTTATAAAGGTATCCTTAATCCTTCTGTAGTTAAGTTGTAGATCTATTATAATGTGCAGGGCAAAATGCAGGTCTCACTGATGGGTATTTTGCCTGAAACACATCATTTCAAGTATCTGCAAACTAAAGAACTGCAAAACATGTTTGTCAGTGTCTTAAGTTTGTGTGTGTGTTCGCGTTTGGTACACTGTAGGTTTCCCAGAATTCCCAGCAGCCATGAAGCTTCGATTGCACTTCGTGGTGGACCCTATGGGCTGGCTGTGCATCAGTGTGGTATTTGGGATCTGGCTCTACAACACCTTTTTTGTTCCCAAACTGGTTCTGTTTCCACACTACAATGAGGGACACATTCCTTGGGCCATTGTTGTTTGTGAGTTTCCTTACCTTTTGTGTTGACACGTGAAAAACTGAAAATGAGTTTCTTTGGAAATTGGAAATGAATGTGCCCGATCACACCTCATCAGTGGAATTAAAACACACTGTATTTCTTTAGGTTACTACATAGCATCAGGACTCTGCCTAGCAGCACTGTTCAGAGCTTCCACAGCAGATCCAGGCCGTCTTCCTGCGGACCCACACATACCTCATGCTGGTAAATGCTTTTCTCACTGCTTACCGCTTGTTTGTATATGTCCAGTTTATCTGTTACTCCGGTACCGACTAGCAGTATCAACTCTCTTCGGATCGATGATTGTTATGTAGTGTTTGTTGTCTTTGTGTTTCAGAGAGAGAGCACTGGGAGTTGTGCAATAAGTGCAACTTAATGAGACCTAAACGGTCGCACCACTGCAGTCGCTGTGGCCACTGTGTGCGCAGGATGGACCATCACTGTCCCTGGTAATCATACACGAACACCTACTCTCATGCTCCCATCCATTCTTGTTTATTCAATTACTGAGATTTGAAAGCTTATTTAATGACTGAACATATCATAGCATGCCATGTGTGTCCACTGCTGTGATAAAGAAATATGTGATCACTTGCTAAATGCACTTTATTTCCTTTGCAGGATTAATAACTGTGTGGGAGAGGACAACCACTGGCTCTTCCTGCAGCTGTGTTTCTATGCTCAGGTCCTCAGCTTATTCACGCTGGTGCTGGACTTCTGTCAGTACTATTACTTCCAGCCCCTGACAGGACTAGACCAGGTAGGTCCATGGGATTGTTTTTAAAAGTTGGCCTCTACTCATTTCCAGCTTCATAATTTTATTCTCTGCTGAGTAACTTTAAACATAGGGATATCTGCCCACACCTACATCACAGAGAGCCAAGTGTATAAAAAATGACTTTTCTTCTACAGCGATTGATGTTCATACTCTGACCTCATTATTTGAAACTTTGGCCATGTTTATTATGAGATTTAGCTACACTAATGGAAAACTATAAACATTCATATTTGACAGTGGGAAAATCAGCAAATGGAACTTTAAGATGATAAGATAAGAGGTTTTCACAACAAAGGGCACTGTTCTCTTTCACTCAGGAAAAGTTCACTACACGTCACGAACTGGCTCTGCTGCGAATCTCTGCGCTAATGGGCGTGGTCATGTTTGGAGGCATGTCTTCTTTGTTTTACACACAGATGACTGGCATCCTCTCGGTGAGTACTGAGTAAAGACTTATTTTCTCGTTTCAGCTGACAGTTTAAGTTCTCCACCCATTTCCTGCTGCCATCGTCTTGATGCGATTATGTCTTTAACTAATTAAATGCGGCTAATATTTCCAAGCTAAGTGTTGAATATCAGTTTGTAGGATCAGTAAATGCGTCATTCGCGGCGTTATTCAGCTTGCATGTCCTCTTGAAAGCAAGTTGAAGACAAAAAAGAAGAAAAATGATGTAGCAGCTTCAGACAAAACAACATGACATGGTGTACAGAAATAAAACGATCAATGCCAGTAATGCAGCGATCGATAGGAAAGAATCAGGGGAGAAAGTGTGCACGTGAGTGCGTTCATATTACTATAAACCACAACAGCAACATGTTCATCTGCCATACCTCTGCTGACATGAATAAACATTTCATTTATTAAATAGTTTGGCAGGTCTGTGAAAAGATGTTATCTGAAATGTTTTAAAATGAGTCACTCATGTTGCATTTTTCTTGTCTTACAGGATATGACCACCATCGAGAAAATGGCTCACTTTTCAAATGAAACGTAAGTTCCGTTTCTTCTTATAGCAGGAATAGCTGCGTCAGAGGAATAGGCCGATCTTTTGGGAGATAAATCTATCGTATGTGTAGAGACCGGCCATTTACATAGCACACCACAGGCGAAGCAGAAGGGAACTTGTAGTTTCAAAACGGGAGTGACAGATCAGTGGGGGATTTTTCATTTTTTATTTTTTGCAGTGTCACTCTCCTTCTTTTATATGCAATCTATGATCCTTATTCACTTTTTGGCAGACAGTTTGGTACAAAAAGGATTTTTACTTGAGCAATTACCTGTTTTTTCTTATCAGATATGGCGCAAAGAGATCCTGGCAGTGGGCGCTAGCTGAAGTTTGTGGCACTCGCTGGAAACTCCTTTGGCTCATCCCACTCCGAAGCAGACAGCCACTTAACGCCAGCCACCAGTTCCGCTCACACGTGTAGGCCGGTAGCGCTCCCACCTGCACAGATGGTAGGAGCTGCCCTGATGAAACACTGTATACACACCTAAGAATCCATCTGCTCGCCTTCACCATCCTCTTTTGTGCTACGAGAGCTGGGCAGCAGTCTTGGTTTTTCAGTGGATATGCCAAGTTTTTTTTGTTTTTTTTCCCTTTGCCTTTCTCTACAAGGCCCAGACTGGCAGAAAACAGGGTCAAGAAACACCTTTGGGAGTAATGGGAAATGTTGTGTTTTTAACTCACTGTGACTGCTACTTTAAGCATTTGGAAACCACTTTTTCTGGCTAATTGCAAAAGAAGGATGGAGGTTTTCATCTGAAAGCAGCTGGTAAAGGAACCCCCCCTCTCAGGTTACTTTAATAAAGAGCCTTGACTACTGACCTTTAATCATCTACAGACGGAACAACGGTTATTTTAGTGTGTCTATTAGACTGGCGTTTTTTTGTAAGAAGTTTGTGCCTTGTTTCTTTTAGCGGTCCTCTTAATTTGTGTGTGTTTGTTTGATGTTTTCCAGCTACTTCTAGTTTGGAAGCTTTTTTTTTATTTTTTTGTATTGTGTTTGTTTATTTATAATTTTTTGTAAAGGGATTTGTCTATTATCAGCGATGTTCTTTTGCTGTTTATAATTTGAGGATTTGTAAATCATTTGGGGTTTGTTGTTGTTTTTTTTAATTTGGGATTGTTCTATGAAGAAGTACTCTGTGAACCATTAATTTACGAAGAATGAAGCAGAACAAAGTTGATCATTTGAATGACAATTTGTAGTCCTTTTTATAACAAATAGGCAGCCTGGTATGAACCTGTGTTATGGAGAGCAGTTAATTCCTACTTTCCTATGGCAAAAATCCACATTAGAAACGAGCTTATACAATCAATGTTGTATGTTGTGGTCAGATTGCTGCATAATCAAGAATATAACATTCCTTGGCCAATTAATGTAATGACTTGATTACAACATTGTATTACTTTGTTTTAGAAGGCATTTAGGTGTCATGTTCTGCCTTCAAAGATAACTTAAATCAAGCTGCCTTTCTTAAATGCCTAGTTTAACCTCATGCCCCACTTATGTTTGCAAATGTGAAACTATAGCTGGCAGCTAGTTAGCTTAGCTTAGCATGATGTCAACTGTGTAAACATAAACAACTAACATTTTTTTAAATACTTAAAAAAATATATTTTAAGTCAGTAAGATAAATCCTAGCAGTTGGTGAGATTTTCTTGGATAACACCAAGCTAACAAGCTAATTTTAGTTTATGGTCTTAAAACTAGGTAGCTTTAAGATCACAGCTACTGGCTAGTTTTGCTTAACGCTAAGCTAAACCAGGTAGCTACTGGCTAGTTTAGCGTAATGCTAAGCTAAACTAGGTAGCTACTGGCTAGTTTAACTAAGTTACATGGCTTGCTTATAGCCTCATAGTACCTGAAGGATGTAGAAGTGATATCAGTTTTGTTTACACCATGATTTTCCCCCAAATGTTAGCCTTTTCCTTTAAGTCAGTCTGTTTAGCTAAAATGTATGTACAGTACAATCTGTTAGCAAAAACAACTTGACCAATTTTTTTTTAAAATTTAGACTGTTGACAAAATAATTTCTAATTGATATTTACCATATTTTTGCTGCTGCTGCTGTAGGTCTTAAATGGATCTGAACACGCAAACTTTGTTAATGCTGTCAGCAAAACTGGCAGATTAGCCTACTTGTGGTGACTTACAGCTAGTTAACCCTTGACAAGACATTGGCAATTTATTTATGGTGGTTTTACTGTAAGTGCGTGGAACTGTTTAGAGATTTTATTGACTTCATTAATGAGATACTTAAGGTAATGATAGTACTAGCATTGCGTGGTTGTCTTCAATACTTGGCAATCTCTTAGCTAAACCTGTATGTAAACAAAGCTTGTCACGTGTTGGGAAATAGTACAATATCCAAGTAGTTGTAAGTGCCTGTCTACTTTATTTCATTGTTATTTACTGTCACAGTCCATAATCATCGTTGTATGGCTGTCTACAAGCCAAAGACCTGGGGAAATGTTGCAATAGTCATCAAGCATACAGTAAGTGCATGTTTCACCAAATTTCTGAAGGTAGCGGTTCAATATTATGCACTGAATTTCACATTCGCACACAGTCTCGTTTTATTGCAATCGTGGTACTTATGAAAGGAAGTCTTTTTTCATATTTATGATGTGTTCAGGTTGTTTGCATTTGCATGAATGTGTATTATTGATGACTCTGTGATTTTTTTATAATGCATATTCAGGTTCCTGGGTGTCTGTGTGTGTTTTTATTATTATTTTGGGGTCGGTTTGATGAGGAGATACATTTGCATGATTGGCACTTTTTTGTTTTTCGTTATCATTTTTGAAGCAATAAGCATTGTGTATCAGTAAAGCCATCTTTTAGTGAAATTCCGACATGTAGTGTGAAATTTATGAACTAGTGGATGGGTTTCAGTCATCACTCCTGAACCAGTAATTACACGACTTGAACATCTGTCCTTATTTCAGTAAACCTCTGCAGCACACACTGGTGTGTGTTTATTGTCAGCTAATAGTTAGTTAAGTAATCGATTAACAATATGTTGGCCTCTACAGCTCATGTTGATTATACTGGAATAGCTGAAAGGCTCTCATGAATTATTTTGAGTCGAAGGTTTAAATATTTCTAATATGTTTATTTTTTTCCCCTCTCAGCTGCCATCTGGCACCCCCAGATCTCTAAATCCATGCATCTTGTTCATTTTCAGTTTTTTGAAATGAGTTTACAGGCCTTATTTTGTTTAATTCTGACCTCAAACAGTGGAACTGTTATGTTTTGTAAGTTAATTTGTTACTCCATAAATATGTTTCTTTATGTTTGGGAAGCCTATGACAAGTTGCCAATTTATTATGTTACAAAAGTACTATTGTGATTATAAAAGGTATATAGGTATTCATATTCAAATAAATTTGATTCTGAACAAATTTGTGTAATTTGTTTTTTTGTGCTTTTTCACCTACATCTTTGCTTCATCTGAAGCCTCTTTTTTTTTTTTTTAGAATTAAAGTTAGTTGAGAAGTTAGTGTAGCACATGATGGCTAAATGGCATTTATCAAAGGAAAACGTTGCTTGTAAGAGATGGAAAGGAGGTTTTTATTTTTTTGTTTACCAGAGATCAAAGAGGCCAGATTACTTCAAGCTGATAGGAAGGCAGGAGTAACTGAAATAACCGCTTGTTCCAACCATGGTATGCAGAAGACCATCTCTGAACCTTTTAGCAGATGGGCTAGTGCAGGAACTGAGCCCACAATCCACAACACAATTGGACAACAGAAGATTGGAAAATGTTGCTCGGTCTGACGAGTCTCAATTTATAATGCAAATTTGACATAAACAGCCTGACAGCATGGATCCATCAACCATTCAGGCTCTTGTTGTTGGTGTAATGGTGAAGGGGATATTTGCTTGCTTTACTTTAGGCCCATTTATACCAAATGGGAATTGAAGATTTAGCACCACAGTCAACCTGGATATTGGTTAGTACTACCAGTACCATAGTGAGATGGCATCCCCTGCCACCATATCTCAATCCAATGGAGCACCTGTGAGATGTGGTCAAATAGGAGATTCACATCATGGATGTGATTCAGCATTCATTGCAATAACTTGCCAGTGCAAGTGAAAGAGCAATAACTACACATAGAAAGTGTTAGAATAAACAGTCAGATTGATTACACTACACCATACTGTACAAATGCTCCATTACAAATAAAATACATTTTCTCAGGATTCTATTTGTAACTTTTACTATGAAAATGTCCTTTGAGTATTATTATATATAACTGCTAAGCGGCTAATGTCAACAGCATTAATGGGTTAGCAGCACTCTGACGTTGCCACTGATTGAGATGGAGCTGATGCGAATAAAGTTAAACTCTGATAGTTTTTGTTAAGCTGATTTTTGAACCCCGAAATCAGCTTTGAGGTTTATATTTGTAGAATCATGAGGTGATTAGTGGATATTCCTTCTGTTTTTTCCCTTTTTTTTT